GCAAAAGAAAGGGGCAAACTCTTGACCCCCCTTCTGATGAAATTAATTTGAGTAATCAATTTGATTTGCTCACGGATGATGAGAATGATCCATCATCCAAGAAAAATTCTAGTAAACTTTCCCGGCTTAATGCCAAGAAGGAAAAGATTCCCCCTATTGTGATAACCACTACCGATTTCCATGCTCTTCGCATGGAACTTTTGAATTTCGTGAAAGTTAAGTTTTCACTACAAATTGGACGTCGGGGTGAATGCCGCGTATTGGCTGAAACCTTGGACGGATTTAAATGTCTTCTCAAGTATCTTACTGAGAAGAAGCACAAATTTTTTACTTACGACACCAAAACTGAACGTGTGTTCAAGGTTGTCATGAAAGGACTGCCCAGTGGTGAATCCCTGGATCAGATCAAAGATGAACTGGCAAAATTACTTGGAGTTGTGCCACTCCAAGTAATCAAAATGAAAATGAAATCCCGTCCTGGCGATTCGCGCAACGGGATTTCTAATGATTTTTATTTAGTTCACTTCAAGTCTAGTGAACTAAACAACCTTAAGGCCTTAGAAAAAGCTAGCCTTATGCTCCATGTCCGAGTGAAGTGGGAACACTTCAGGAAGACTGGAGGAAATTTCCAAAACCTCACCCAGTGCCGTAAGTGCCAGGGATGGGGTCACGGAACTAAAAATTGCTACATGCCAGCTAAATGCATGAATTGTGGTGATTCCTCTCACGCAAAGGATGACTGTCCTGTGAAGGAAGATCCTAAGAAATTTAAATGTTCAAATTGTGGTGAAAACCACAAATCCAATTTTTGGGAATGTAAGACTCGCAAAGCGATCCTACAATTTCGTTCTAACCGTCAGGTAGGAAACGCTTCACGTTTCCGACCAGGTACAAATTCCTCTGCTGTTAACAACGGTCAGCGAGGAACAAATTCTACATTCTTACCCGTAGGTACAAATATCTCCCCTGCTTCAAATGTTTCATCTGTACCTACTCCCCTCGCTGCTAACAATGTTCAGCGAGTTAATGGAGCTACCTATGCTGCTATTGCAGCGGGTAGAAATCAAAATACTAACCAACGTTCTAATGGAAATTTTGACAATTTTGACTTAGGAAGCATTACTGCCCCCAAAATGGAATTTTTACAGAAATCATTAATTGACATGATTTCTGATATGCTTAAATCTAACTCCATGTTTGATGCTATTCAAACTGGAGTAAAATTTGCAAATAATATTGTCATGACTTTAAAATTCAGTAATGGATTTTAAAGCATTAAATATTGTAAATTGGAATGCTCGATCTCTTAAAGATAATGAAGACGAGCTATTTAACTTTTTAAGAGTTCATAACGTGCATATTGCCGTTATAACTGAAACGTTCCTTAAACCTGCCCATAAGGTTAAGAAGGACGCAAATTACTTGATTTATAGAAATGATCGTCTTGATGGACCCTGTGGTGGCGTTGCCATCATTATTCATAGACGAATCAAACATAAAATTCTTTCTTCATTTGAAACCAAAGTTTTTGAAACTTTGGGGGTTTCTGTTGAAACAAAATTTGGACAACTTACGTTTATAGCTGCCTATTTGCCATTCCAATGCGTAGGCCAGCAAAAGAATTTTCTCAAGGGTGACCTCCAGAAACTTACCCGTCATAGGTCTAAATTCTTCATTATTGGTGATTTTAATGCAAAACACCGCTCATGGAATAATGCTCAAAGCAATTCCAATGGTAATATTCTGTTTGATGATTGTTCTGCAGGTTATTACACTATTCAATATCCAAACAGCCCAACATGCTTTTCTTCTGCAAGAAATCCCTCCACTATTGATTTGGTCTTAACTGATTCATGTCAACTTTGTAGCCAATTGGTTACCCATGCTGACTTCGGTTCTGATCACCTTCCAGTAACTTTTGAAATATCCCAAGAAATAATTTGTAATCCCAACAGCTCTACTTTCAATTACCATAGAGCTGATTGGGAGCAGTATCGAACATTTATGGAATATAACTTCGATCCAAACATTCCTTTGCAAACCAAAGATGAAATTAATTATGCTCTTGAATCTCTGACTACTTCTATAGTTGAAGCAAGAGCTGCCTCAGTACCAAAATGCGAGGTTAAATTCGATTCAATTATAATAGACGATGATCTTCAGCTCTTGATCCGTCTTAAAAATGTCCGTAGGAGACAATATCAAAGAACACGCGATCCTGCCATGAAAGTTATCTGGCGGGATTTGCAAAAACAAATTAAAAAGCGATTCTCTGCCCTGAGGAACAAAACTTTTGAAAATAATATTTCTAAATTAGACCCGAGTTCCAAACCCTTTTGGAAACTCACAAAAATTTTGAAAAAACCTCAAAAGCCTATTCCAGCGCTTAAAGAAGGTGGTAAAATTTTGATCACAAATTTGGAAAAAGCTCAGAAACTTGCTAAGCAATTCGAGAGTTCCCATAATTTCAGTTTGGGTCTTACTAGTCCTATTGAGAATCAGGTTGCTTGGGATTTTCTGAATATTTTCTCTCGGGAAAATATTTTTGATGATTCCTGGGGGACTGATTTGGACGAAGTAAGGTCTATAACTAAAAAATTTCAAAATATGAAAGCTCCAGGTGATGATGGAATTTTCTATATCCTCATCAAAAAACTCCCAGAGAGTACCTTGTCTTTCTTGGTAAAATTATTTAACAGATGTTTCCATTTGGCATACTATCCTGATAAATGGAAAAATGCAAAAGTTGTTCCAATTTTGAAGCCGGATAAAAATCCAGCTGAAGCTTCTAGCTACCGTCCAATAAGTTTGCTTTCTTCAATAAGTAAACTTTTTGAAAAGATAATTTTGAATAGAATGATGCTTCACATCAATACGAACTCAATTTTTGCAGATGAGCAGTTTGGATTTCGCCATGGGCATTCAACTACTCATCAACTCTTAAGAGTTACCAATTTAATTCGTTCAAACAAATCTGAAGGCCACTCAACTGGAGTTGCTCTTCTAGACATAGAAAAAGCATTCGACAGTGTTTGGCATGAAGGTTTGATTGCTAAATTGAAAAAGTTTAATTTTCCACTTTATATTATGAAATTAGTTCAAAATTATTTAACTGACAGAACTCTTCAAGTAAATTATCAAAATTCCAAATCTAATCGACTACCTGTTAGGGCAGGAGTTCCTCAGGGTAGCATTCTTGGGCCTATATTGTATAACATTTTCACTTCGGACCTCCCTGATTTGCCTCAGGGTTGCCACAAATCTTTGTTCGCTGATGACACAGGCATTTCCGCTAAAGGAAGAAGTCTTCGTGTTATTTGCAGCAGACTGCAGAAAAGTTTAGATATTTTCTCTTCTTATTTACAAAAATGGAAGATTTCTCCCAACGCTTCCAAAACTCAACTTATAATATTTCCACATAAGCCCAGGGCTTCCTTTTTGAAACCTAGTAGTAGCCACATAGTCACTATGAACGGAGTTCCAATTTCCTGGTCAAACCAAGTGAAATATCTTGGATTAATACTTGACCATAAATTAACTTTTAAAGATCACATTGAGGGCATTCAAGCCAAATGTAACAAATATATAAAATGTTTGTATCCTCTTATTAACAGGAAATCCAAACTTTGCCTGACGAATAAACTTCTAATATTTAAACAAGTTTTTAGACCGGCCATGCTTTACGCTGTACCAATATGGTCTAGTTGCTGCACTACCAGGAAAAAAGCACTTCAAAGGATTCAGAACAAAATTCTGAAAATGATTTTGAAGTTGCCTCCCTGGTACAGTACAACCGAAGTACATAGAATTTCGAATGTTGAGACTTTAGCACAAATGTCCAACAAAATAATTAATAATTTCAGGCAAAAATCGTTGCAATCCTCAATTGCAACGATTAATTCCCTTTATACTTAGATAAGATTTAGTTTTAGTTTTTAGTTTTAAGATATCAATTGTTATACTGACATGCAGGTTAAAAAACCTGTTTAAAATAACAAATTGCCAAGACATGAACAATGTAAAAACACTTAGATATATATCATAACAATTAAGGCTGGTACGTTACTGCAGTAACTGGAGCACCTAGGTTAAAATGAAATGTAATTTATTTTGAATGTGGAACAAATAAAGAGTTAAAAAAAAAAAAAAAATAAATCGTTTGCTAGTCTGGTGCGGTGACAACGGCATACGCGTCCACACCAAAAAATGCAAAGTGATATCCTTCACCCGTAGCAATAGAGTTACTCTTCATCCATACTGCATGGGACCGGATTCCCTAGAGCGTGTAAACTCAATCTGCGATCTAGGCCTTACGATCGATTCCAGGTTAACGTTTTGCGAACACATAAGCATCGTAACTGCCAAAGCATACACTGTGCTTGGTTTCATTCGTCGTCATGCTTCTGGTTTCACCGACGTTTATTGCCTCAAGACACAATTCTGCTCGCTGGCTGGTTCGTAGTATCTTAGAATATGCTTCCCCAGTGTGGTCTCCATTTTACACTACGCATATTCTTACGATTGAACGGATTCAAAAAAGCTTCATGCGGTTTGCTTTACCTCAGCTCCCATGGAATGATCCAGTAATTCTTCCCAGTTATCCAGACCGATGCATGCTGATTGATTAGGAATCTCCCTCAGCAAGGCGTATCAAATTGCAACGACTTTTCATCTTCGACCTAATCACCGGCAATGTGGACTGTCCCGAACTGCTGGAACGGATTCCATGGAACATTCCTCCTCGTAGATTTCGTAACTCCCCATTACTGGCAATTCCATTCCACAGAACTAACTTTGGATTCAATATCTGTTTTAATTCATGTTTGCGTTCCTTTAATGATGTTTGTAATGAGTTTGTAATAGAATAAGAGGTTTAGATTAAACAAGTTTTAGTTTTAAGTAATCAGTCTGTACGAGGTAGTCGAAGACGGTGTGCAATAAATGAAATCATGAGGTACTATTTTCAAACGACCCACTGCTAGGAATTTCGAAAAACTTACCATTCGAGTGTTGTTCTAGGAAGTGCGAGTTTAACCGGCTGTTCTCGAGCAGGTTGGCAATGTTCATCGGATCCGCTGCAGGCACCGACGAGTGTCCGTTGAGTAAAAAGGGTGGAGTTTGCTGTTGTGCTGCCTGCTGTTGTTGGTTCTTGTGAAAGTCGAAGAACTTTGACATGTTACCCGCGTAGATGTGATTGATGTCGGAGTGTTGCTGCTGTTGCTGCTGTAAACGCTGATGAGTCTGCTGTTGGTGTTGTTGCTGCTGCTGCTGACTCAGTAACCTACTATTAAGTTCGTTTGTGTTGTGAAAGTAATCTGAGTAATCTCCTGAAACGAGAGGAAAAAGTGTATACCATCAGCATTTAGGACTGAGGGGGATTTACGGAGGACGCTAAACTTACCATTAAAGCCATTGAATTGCGTCCCATTCAGTCCACTGTTGATGAGGTTACGCTTCTGCAGTTCCTGCATGCGTAAGAGCTCCTCTTGATGCTCAACGTCCAGTTTGTTGCGCATCATATATTTGCTAAAGGCGGCCTCCCAATCATCGGTATTGCCAGTGCCAAGACCTGCGAGGCTCTCGACACTACCGTTTCCAAGACCGAGCCCACTCAGCTGTTGCTGCAGGTGCAGATTGTTCAGCAGATGATGCTGCTGTTGTTGCTGCTGCTGTTGCTGAATGTTGCCCAGATTCTTGAGGATCTCTTTTGTGTGCTGCTCGTTGGTATCGTTGGTACCGCTGAGGAGATCCGGCAGCTGGGAGGATGTGAGACCAGTGGGCTGGTTACTATCCAGATTACCACCCACAACTGCGGAAATAGAAGAAAGAATTGCATTTAGTCTCAATGATCCACGCCTTTTAAAACGATTGCACAACTTACCACTATCCAGTTTGTTGTAACTGTACGGATCGAGCGTGCTGTGAGAGAAGAAACTGCTGTTGTCATCGAAAATGCCCAATTTGGAGAATCGCGATGTGGCGTTGTCAATGAGACTGTTGGTCTTGTTGAGACCATTTGGCGGCGACTGCTGTTTGCTGGCCGTCGAAGTCGTAACGGTTGTGGTGGTCAAATTGACTCCATCTTCCGCACTGCCAAACAGTGACGACGATGACGAACACGATATCACCGGATCTGTACTGCTGCCACTCTTGTCGTCAGAGCTGGAAACGGCCCCGGACGACGATAGGGGAGAGGAGGAAAAGGTGGTAAAATTGATACTACTACTACTAATACCATTGGTGATGGCCTGGATGCTGCTGGGAGCTGTCGTGATGGCGCTTTCCTCTACGGATAAGTTACTGGTTGTACTGGCCGCCGTAGGGCTTCCAGTCGTTATCACATTGTTCACCGCAGTTAGTGGATCGGGGAATGCACTAGGCGAGCTCTTACCGCTGGGCGTTTCACTCAGTGTGCTACCACTGTCGCCGCCGGCATGCGACGAACCGCTGCTGCTCAACGAAGGTGTATCCGTTTTGCCATCGTTGTCCGACGACAGTGCATCATTGTCCAAATCCTCAAAGTCCAGCTCGTCGTCATCGTCATCCAGATCGTCCAGGTGCTGTACGCTGGCAGACTTGCCTCCGTTAGTGGTTATACCATTTGTGCTAACACACCCATTGACGATGATCTGTTTGAGATGTTTGCTATTGTTCTGAACCTCCTTACCCAGGTCTTCCCCATTGGCTAGACCGGCAACGACAACAGCGGCGGACCCCTTGCCATTGCTGCTGCCGATAACCGTTGTACTGGCGGTACTGGTAGTACTAGACGAATTGCTCACCGTTCTGCTGCTGGCAACGCTGTTGGCTCTGCTAGTCACCGGAATTGTACTATCTTTGCTGCTACTGCGGTTGGAATTCTGTTTACTGTGACTATCTTTGCTACTGGTGTGCTCTTTGCTGCTGTGATGGTCGCGCTCCGTATCCCGACTGTTCCGGTGCTTCCGGCCACCTTTCGATCGGGTTTTCTCATGCTTTCGATCGCTGCGAGTTGCATTCTCCTTGTTGCTGCCACCGACTGAAATGGTACGGCACAACGAATGAAATCAGTCGTGTTATTATTGGATGGGAAATCGACTGGAAGCGGCAAATATTTCCAATTTGGAGTGAGTGTTAGCATCGGGTTGTGTTAGTCGGATTAGTTTTTCAATATGGCCAATCTTTTCTGCTGGAACAGAAATCTCCTATCGCACGGACGGTTTCATTACGAAAATCGAGTGTTAGTATTCGAGTACTCATACACACAAACCACCACCGGAAACAGACAAGCTATGCACGCGCACACTGAAAAAGAACTCCGAACCGTGATGATCAAATATATAACTATCAAAACAAATGAGCAGGATGACACTTAATACACAGATTACTCATTTCGGAGGGGGAGAGAGTTACGAGGTTTCCAGCGTTCCAGATATAAGACTGGATTTTTTTGTGGCTATTCTGGAGGCGGCAGTAACCGAGAGCCTGTCTTATTAAACAAAAAAAAGGGATGAAAGGGTCATAGCAATCTACCAATTCAAGTACCTTCTCAAGCAACATCTGTACTATACGTATAGACTTCGTAGAACTTCTTTGGCTGAGCAGATTTTCTAGGTATGCATCTCACATTAGAAACGAAACTACATTCTACCGCTTACGGTGAAAGCCCCACAAATTACCAGTTCACTTTTTGGGACCTCGCTTAGCGCAGTCGGTAAAGGCACAGCTATAATGCAAGACCATGCTGTGGAGGCAGCTGGGTTCGATTCCCTGTCCGGCCTACGATTTTTGGCAAAAATGGTACAGGCCAAGAAAGCTCTCAGTATCTTCCTGTGGAAGTTTCAGCTACTTCCTGAGAGAGTTTCTAAGGATGTTTATGCAACTTCGTGAGTAGGTTCCAGCTACTTCCTATGGAAGTTTGAGCAGCATTCTAACAAAGATCAAGCTTCTCCTTGAGAAAGATTGAGCAACTTCCTCCGAAAATTCAAGCAGCTTCGTGAGAAAGTTTGAGAAATTTCACGTAAAATGACTAGCAAATTTTTGAGGAAGTTCGATTGGCTTCCTTGAGAAATACAGGGCGGACTCGATTATCCGGAGTCTTGAAAAAAATTTCACTCCGGATAATCGAGCCCTCCGGATAATCGAGCCATAAAAAAAAATATTTTTTTTTTGGTCTTATGTGGTCTCATTTAATGTTTTAGTGGCTCCATTGAACGCTTTTGAAGGATTATGGAATCGGACCACTGGTTTTGTAGATATGGCCGGAACAAGTTTCGGCGTTTATGGGCCATGAGGCTAAATTTGACTTGAAAGGAACAAAACCCATTAAGCGACACATCAAATTAAATCAAAATTCGATAACCAGATCAATGGTGGAAAAAATTAAGTACCTTGGACCATATTGGCCACTTTCGGACAAGTTCCAGGTGCCCCGGGAAAGTGACCAGAATCGGACTTGGATAATAACCTATCATGAGGCACATTAAAATCTCGAGATCCTGACCAGATAGAAAATTACTGTCTTCGGCAAAGTTTTTCTAGAGATCATAATCTTTTCGCTGGTGGAGAGAAGTTCAGAATTTTCTCTCTACGTAGCGCTAGAATACATGTGAAATTATCGCATGTGATATATCTCGAGATCATGACCAGATAGAAAATTACTGTCGACGACAAAGTTGTTCAGAAGGTCAAGGCCTTTTCGTTGGTGGACAGTAGTTCAGTGTTTTCTCACTTCGCGGCACTTGTATACATGTAAAATTCTCGCATAAATAAAATATTTCTATATCCTTACCATATAAAAAGTTACTGTCTTCGGCAAAGTTTTTCAGGAAGTCCAGATCTTTTCATTGGTGGAGTAGTTCAGAAAATTCTCACTACGTGGCGCTAGTATATACATGCAATTTTCGCATATACAATAGCTCGAGATCCTGAGCAGATAGAAGTTACTGTCTTCGGCAAACTTGTTCAGGGTGTCAAGTAGTTTTGGCTGGTGGACAGTTGTTCAGAATTTTCTCCCTACTCGGTGCTAGTATACACATGGAATTCTCGCATATACAATAGCTCGAAATCCTTAGCCGATAGAATGTTACTGTTTTCGGCAAACTTTTTCAGGGGGTCAAAAATTTTTGGCTGGTGGACAGTAGCCTAGAAATTTTGCACCACATGGCGCTAGTAAACGTGTACAATTATCGCGTATGCTAAGCTCGAGATTCTGAACAGGTAGAAAATTACTGTCTTCGAAAAAGTTGTTCATGAGGTCAATGCCTATTGCTTGGTGCACAATAGTTCAGAATTTTCACACTACGTGGCGCTAGTATACACGCGAAATTCTCGCATGTAAAATATCTCGAAATTTTGATCAGATAGATTTCTCTAGTGGACAGTAATTCAAAATTTTCTCACTACGTAGCGCTAGAACACACGTGAAATTCTCGCATGTGGTTTGTTTCGAGATCCTGACCAGATAGAAAGTTACTGTCTGCAACAAAGTTATTCAGGAGGTCAAAGTCTTTTGGCTGGTGAACAATAGTTTAGAATTTTCTAATAAACTCTAGGCTTTAAACTCCTGAACAACTTTGTTCAAGACAGTAACTTTCTATCTGGTCAAGAACGTTAGGTATTTTATATGCGAGAATTTCACATGTATAATAGCATCATGAAGTGAGAAAATTCTGAACTACTGTCCACCAGCCAAAAGATCTTGACCTCCTGAACAACTTCCTATCTGATCAGGATCTCGAGATATGCATATGCGAGAAGTGTACATGTATACTAACGCCACGTGGTGAGAAAATTATTAACTACTGTTTACCAGCCAAAAAGTCTTGACCCCCTAAACAACTATGCCGAAGACAGCAACTTTTTAGCTGATCAAGATCTCGAGCTATTGAATATGGGAGAAAGGCACGTATATACTAGCACCGCATAGTGAGAAAATTCTAAACTATTGGGTGACAAAAAGATCTTGACTTTCTGAAAAACTTTGCCGAATACATTTACTTTCTATCTGGTCAGGATCTAGAGACATTTTATATGCAAGAGTTTCACATCTATAGTAGCGCCGCAAAGTGAGAAAACTTTGAACTACTGTCCACCTGTGAAAAAGCCTTGACATCCTGAACAACTATGCCGAAGACAATACCTTTCTATCTGGTTGGGAACTTGAGATATTTTATATGAGAATTTCACGTGTATACAAGCGTCGCGTAGTGAGCAATTTCTGAACTATTGAGCACCAAGCAATAGGCTTTGACCTCCTGAAAAACTTTGTGAAAGACAGTAACTTTTTATCTGGTCAGGATCTCGAGATATATCACATGCGAGAATTTCACATGTACACTAACGCTACGTAGTGAGAAAATTCTGAACTACTGTCCACCAGCGACAAGGCTATGATCTCCTGAACAACTTTGTCAGAGACAGTAACTTTCTATCTTGCCAGAATCTTGATATATTCCATGTTGTAATCAATTAAGTCAAATCCCACGTAGTATGGTCACAGTTTTCGCGATTTCCATTTACATTTTCCCTATTATCCGCATTTTTTAGTTTAATCAAAGTTTAGCTTGTTTAGATTAAAACAAGTTTTTTGAGGAATACTCGCTGGTTTCAGATCGATTGGTAACTCAGCAACAAAATGGCAATGGAAAACTCATGTGTGTTGTACAAAGTACAACAGCGCGAGTAACGGAGGGTTAAAGGCCCTTTGGTACATATTTTTTTTGAGGATCTTCAAAAATTTTGTTCGGTTGCCATTCCCCCCCCCCTGAAACGTGACGTAATTAGTGAACGGACCATCATGAGATTCAGTTTTTGTATGTTGTTGTGGCACATGATATGTTTGATTCCTTTCAGGTCAAAGTTAATCCAAAACCCCTTAACGCCGGATTTTGTAACAAAGGCACACAAACACTTAAATATAGTCATTTCCCGATCTTGTCAGACTTAGTCGAACGATGTATGTTACTCGTCCTCGGATCGAAAGTCGGTTTTCCAAGCGGTTTATGAAAAATAATTTGCAAGATAGGTAAAAAAATATGACTCCGGATAATCGAGCCATTTTCTCCGGATAATCGAGCCCCGGATAATCGAGCCTCCGGTTAATCGAGCCTCCGGATAATCGAGTCCGGCCCGAGTAGTTTTGTAGGGATGCTCGACCAACCTCCTAAAGAAGTTTGAGCGACTTTTAAAAAATGTACGTCTATGGAAGTTTGAACAACTTCTTTAAAAATATCAAGCCTTAAGGGGGAAGCTTACCACCCAGGAAAAAACGTTTTGATTTTTCTAAAAATATTATTGAAAATGATATAGGGGAATTTACGTATTCTCGGCAATCTAAGCAGCTTCCGCTAGATAAAATTGATAATTTAATAGCAGATTTTTGGCGATATAATACATTTCCTCTATGTATTTTTTTCAGGAAAGTTAGAAAAAGAAATGAATTTTCTTGGATTTTTGATATATTTTTCCAATAATTTTAGAAAAATCGCAACGAACCGGGAATTTTTTTAAAAACAAAATGGCGTTAAGCGTAATTTTGAGCAACTTTATGAAGAAATTAGAGCAATATCCAGGAAAAAATCGTGAAATTTTTAGACGAAGCAGCTTTCTGCGGTAAATCGAACACTTTTCGAGGATGTTCGATAAACTTGCTTAAAAAGTTTGAGCAACTTCTTGTATAAATTTAAACATTTATCTCGGAAAGTACAAGCCTCTTCGATAGAATATTCAAATTACTTCATGTGATACCCTAGCAGCACACTTGTCGCAAAACGGTTGTAGCAACTCCTATGCGAATAATTCCGGGCCCAATCAAGTTGCCGCAACTTTCAAGACGGGACTGTGTTGCTTGGGTTGTTGAGGTCGTTTCCTAAGAATATTCAAGCACCATTATGAGAAAGCTAGATAAATGTCATGAGATAAGTCGAACAACTTCCTAAGAAATGTCGAACAACTTTCAGAGAAAGTATGAGCAGCTTTTTTAGGAAAATCGAGCTACATCCTGGGAAAAAAAAACTCTACATCCATCGTGTGATGAAC